ACTATGTAGACCAGGCTGTCCCCAAATGCATAGAAATTTACCTGCCTCTGCCTTCTGAGTGCTAGGATTAAAGGCATTCACCATGCCTGCTTTTCTTTTTACTTTTTTACATTTGTGTGTGTGTGTGTGTGTGTGTGTGTGTGTGTCCGTATACACACATGCCACAGTGCAAGTATGGAGGTCAAGGACAATGGCAGTTGGATCTCTCTTTCTATCATATGGGTCCCAGGAATCAAACTCAGGTCATAAGGTCTGGTTGGCAGGTACCTTTACTCACTGAGCCATCTAGTTAGCCCGTTCCCTCTTCTTAAAACAAGCCTGCAAGTTGGAATGGCTGGTCTCATGTTGTAGGCAAGAAAACAACTCATTGGAGGTCAAGGAGTTGCCCACAATCACACAGTAAGTGAAAGAGCTGAGATTTGAACTCTACTCACAAGGGTGACTATTATATATACCCATCGCCTCCTAGGCAGTTGTTAGCTTTTCTGCGGCCACCCTGCTGGGACTCACCCTGTGCCATGCTGTGCTGAGCTGTCAAAGGTGTTGGTGGCCCGATGAACAAGAAAGGGCACAGGTGAGCAGGGACAAGGTGGCTTCTAGAGGAGAGCATAGAGCCAGCTGCTTCATGGCTGACCCTGAAGTTGCCCCAAACATGTTGAGTTTATATGAAAAGGAGCAGGCCATCTTCACATTCCTCCTGCTAGGGAAGGATGAGCTGCTATCAGAGATCACTGTCATCACTAGTGCCTCAAGACACTGAACTCCTTTTTGCTGTGTAGAGACGTATCCCCTCTAATTGTCACAGGTAAGAGCCACCCCACCTAACAACTGGATACATCCATTCTTCAGTTCTGGGACACCAAGGCTCTCCTGCTCTTCCTTGCCCCCTCTCCAGCTCCCTCTCCCAGGTCTTTCGTTGGTTGGTTGCTCCAGCCGTTTCTATAGGCATCACCTCTCTCTCATGCCTCCATGTACACAGAGGTAGAAGAGGTCAGAGGTTTCCCTGGTCCTCCTCTATTTCTGCAACGTAGTACAACCTTGGGCAAATGATGCAACCAACCTGTACCTCAGTTTCCTCATCACTGAAAGTGGTATAGTACAGCTCTCCATAGACACCTATAGATACAGATGTAGCTGCTGCTTACAGGATTAGTATGAGTTTCACAGAAGAAAATGTACTGTGAGGTTAAAGATATGACCAACCTGTGGCCTGTGGGCCCCTGGGGCACAAGCATAGCTACAAATGCAGCTCAACACATTGTAGATCACAACATCATGTCACAATGCCAGAAGTTTTTGACCCCATCAAAAGTACTTTCCTAAAAGCTTCCAGGCTGTTCTGCTGTGCAGCCAAGATTAGGAACCACCACGTCAACACAATCTCTAAAAGATGTGACTTGTGCTTTGGATTCTAGGTGCTTAGGTAGCACAGCACCTGGAACAAATTCACCATCCTGGGATTACCTTTTGAATGGATGTACAATTATATTTATCTGCAGGATTACGGGGTGAGTGAGTTCCTTCCCCAAAGCTAGTCACCAGCCACTATCAAGAGCCAAATTCTTCTGAAATCCACTGACCACACTGGCGATGACTGTACCATGAGATCCTTCTGAGAGAATAAAGTAGACACCCCATAGTGACTCCTGAACAAACGACACGAGACAGGTCACATACAAAGAGAAGGGGGCTCCATTCAGGGGTAGGACTGGGGTGACTCAGCATTTGGATGTCTGGGATTCTCAGTTTTGTGTCTGCCCAAGTACAGAGATCATGCCAGGTTCAGACTTACAGTCGATGGGCACTTCCTGAAGCCTGGCACCGCTTTCCAGGTGACAACAGTTCTACTCCTACTGCTGGGACACAAATGGCTTAGAACACAATGGCGTGGTGGAAGAAATTATTGTTATTTCTTCTTCTTCTTCTTCTTCTTCTTCTTCTTCTTCTTCTTCTTCTTCTTCTTCTTCTTCTTCTTCCTCTTCTTCTCTTTCTCCTCCTCCTCCTTCTTTTTCTTCTTCTTCCTCCTCCTTCTTTTTCTTCTTCCTCCTCCTCCTCCTCTTTCCCATCTTCTGTGACTGATGTTCAATCAGGCTGCCAAAAACTAGGACACTATTTATATGTGTGTGGGAAAGGCAGGGCAGACCATGCACTGACCTTTCGGAGTCACACAGCGTTTTTCCTTTTCTCTCAGCTGGGCGTTCTAGAAGGCCTCATAGAAGGAGCCCTTTCCATAAAGACCATAAGGGGTTCAATGGAGAGGGCTGAGTGCTAGTTTTGCATTAGTTAAGATCAATGGGAAATAAAGTAGGGCATCCGGTGTTCTCAGAAAGAACTCAAATGGTAACCCATAGGGGACAAAACTCTTAAAGACACATGCTAATAAAGGGTACACCTCTCCAGCTTATTCTCTTCACCCAGTCAAGACTAGCACAATGGACTGTATCACAATGCACAAGCTGGGAGATGTTAGGCAGTTGGTGTGACAGGAAGAAATGCCAGGAAGGCCAGTAGTGGGGGAAAGGGCTGGAAGAGACACTTCTCAAATGCTCCCTGCACAAGGTACCTCTACCTGGATTTTAGTCTTTGCAGTTAGAGGGTCACTATCCCTGTTTACAGATGGGAAGACTGAGGTGCAGAGAAGCAGGCACTTTCATTAGAAAGTGGCTGAACCCCTTGTAAATTCTGACTGCAGGCTCCAAGATCTACCCATAAACTTTGTCTTGTCCTGGGTCAGTGAGCTCTGATTCAGACCTCCAGGGAAGTCCATTTCTGGGTGCTAAGTAAGAGCAAGTAAGGCAGTAGCTGAGGTGATCCGTAGGTGTCAGGCATATTCCTGGACATTTTTTTTTAGGCTGTGGCATTGTATAGTGTCTTGAGGCCGGGAGCTTAGAGCCAGAGGTTAGGCTGCAGGGACCGTATGGGTCCCATGAAAAGGCCCCCTTCCTGACCCAGAGTGGTGCAAGGGGAAGCTAAAGGGACAGTCTCAGATCCCTGAGACTATGGCTGTCAATCACAGGCGCTGCATCAGCCCTGCCATCTTTGTTGAGCCAAGTTGGCTCTAAGGAAAGGAAGATCGTGCCATTACCAGCTTGACTAGACAACTTGAAACTGACTTTGGGAGACCCACATAGCAGCTGGCCGAGCATGACAGGGCTCCTGCACTAACCTCTTTGCAATCAAAGCTGAGTTACTTTTATTCTACTTTTATTGAAGACTAAAAGTAGCCCAGTGGCTCTGGATCATTTGTTGTATGAGATGGTGATTAAACCGACACCCCAGTGAGCCTTGAAGATGCTCTGACCAGAGACCCAGGGAACAATCTTCAAGTGGTCCCTGCCCCCAGCATACCCCATGCCAACTAAGGCCCATTTTTAGTTCTGGACTGGGGCAGCCTGAGGCCCAGGATGGAATACTGGTAGATGAAAGCCCAGCGCCCTTGCCTTGATCTGGGATAAACTTAATTTCTGGAACTCTCCACAGATGGGACTGAGATTAGGGACCAAACCACACACTTTCTTGGCTTAATTCCTGCCCCCGCTTGTCCCCAGCCTGTCCCCAGCGTGCCCCAGCCTGCCCCAGCCTGCCCTATCCTGCCCCGTCCTGCCCCAGTCTGCCCCAGCCTGCCTCACCCTGCCCTATCCTGCCCCATCCTGCCCCAGCCTGTCCCCATCCTGCCCCAGCCTGCCCCAGCCTGCCCCAGCCTGCCCCAGCCTGTCCTCATCCTGCCCCAGCCTGCCCCAGCCTGCCCCAGCCTGCCCCATCCTGCCCCAGCCTGCCCCATCCTGCCCCGTCCTGTCCCCAGCCTGCCCCAGCCTGCCCCATCCTGCCCCGTCCTGTCCCCAGCCTGCCCCAGCCTGCCCCAGCCTGCCCCAGCCTGTCACCATCCTGTCCTCATCCTGCCCCGTCCTGCCCCATCCTGTCCTCATCCTGCCCCGTCCTGCCCCGTCCTGCCCCAGCCTGCCCCGTCCTGCCCCGTCCTGCCCCAGCCTGTCCCATCTTCCCTTGCTTGTTTCTCCTAGCAGCACGTCTTTACCGAACCACAGTCCTTATCTTAGCCTTTCGGCTGGGAAGTCCACCTCAGATGCTCCTCTGTGTAGTGAAGGTAAAGAGGCACACTTCCTGCAATGTGCCTAGTTAATGCATGGCACACGGGAAGTGACTGATGATCACAGCCACTTACTTGTAGAAGAAATTGCCAATAATGACTGCTTTTGACTCAGAAAATGGTATTTTCCCAATGACATGTTACAGTGTAGTCTCTCAACATTCTTTCAGCAGCTACTGTGGGAAAAACAAAAACTCTAGTGAAGACCCTGGCTTGCTGTGGCAGGCTCCCAACCCAGAAGCCTCCTTCCCTGCTCCCTTGCCCGTGAGAACAGTGTGGGCCTCTAATGTCCTAGTAGCTGGTGTTTTACTGCCTGGCTCTGGGTGGGACAGTAACGCTTGTTATTTAAGCAGAAAACTGTGCAAATTTGGGCCCCACCTAAAACAGGGTTGAGGGCAGAGGTGAGGGTGGGAAGAGCAATCCATGTCTGTCAGGTGGAAAAGGTCAGATCATAAATAGGAAAAACACACTGTTAGCTGCCCCACATCCCCCTGGGGCCAATGTTTTGTAAATATATTTGTGTTTTACTTTTCTCCAAAGATGATTCTGTGGCCTGTTAACGGCAGCTGCTATGAACCTTCCCTTTGATGGCTGTGGTGTATTTATGGCTCATTTCAGTTCTAATCACCGGGCAGATGAAAAGTGTGTGTTGGTGTGGCCAGTGGCATAAAAGGGGCCTGGAACTTTGTTGTTTATATTTCCTCTGTCTATCACCGCTCCAGTGACATGGCAATCCATCCCCCTATCTCCCCAACACACCATCCATTCCTTTCCCATCACGAGGGGATCCCGTAGAGGGGGAAGAGTCCTGCACAGAGGTCTGAGGAAACCCAGGGCCCAAGCAGAGGCAGGCTGGTAGCAGATAAACAAAAGAAAAAAAAAAGAATTGGAAAATATGAGGGATTTGGGTAAAAACTGGGAAGTTCAGGCCATCAGGAGCTGGGAACTACTGCAGCTGGAGCCTGGCTGCCAGGTGGTGTCGGGTTACAGTCCATCAGGTACACTGCAGTCCACCAACAGTGGCCACCTGGAACTGCGGTCCACCAACAGTGGCCACCTGGAACTGCAGTCCACAAACAGTGGCCACCTGGAGCTGCAGTCCACCAACAGTGGCCACCTGGAACTGCGGTCCACCAACAGTGGCCACCTGGAGCTGCAGTCCACCAACAGTGGCCACCTGGAGCTGCAGTCCACAAACAGTGGCCACCTGGAGCTGCGGTCCACCAACAGTGGCCACCTGGAACTGCGGTCCACCAACAGTGGCCACCTGGAACTGCGGTCCACCAACAGTGGCCACCTGGAGCTGCAGTCCACCAACAGTGGCCACCTGGAACTGCGGTCCACCAACAGTGGCCACCTGGAGCTGCAGTCCACCAACAGTGGCCACCTGGAACTGCGGTCCACCAACAGTGGCCACCTGGAACTGCAGTCCACCAACAGTGGCCACCTGGAACTGCGGTCCACCAACAGTGGCCACCTGGAACTGCGGTCCACCAACAGTGGCCACCTGGAACTGTGGTCCACCAACAGTGGCCACCTGGAGCTGCAGTCCACCAACAGTGGCCACCTGGAACTGCGGTCCACCAACAGTGGCCACCTGGAACTGCGGTCCACCAACAGTGGCCACCTGGAACTGCAGTCCACCAACAGTGGCCACCTGGAACTGCAGTCCACAAACAGTGGCCACCTGGAACTGCGGTCCACCAACAGTGGCCACCTGGAGCTGCAGTCCACCAACAGTGGCCACCTGGAACTGCAGTCCACCAACAGTGGCCACCTGGAACTGCAGTCCACCAACAGTGGCCACCTGGAACTGCAGTCCACCAACAGTGGCCACCTGGAACTGCGGTCCACCAACAGTGGCCAACTGGAACTGCGGTCCACCAACAGTGGCCACCTGGAGCTGCAGTCCACCAACAGTGGCCACCTGGAGCCATTCATGCGCTGCTGCTCTTTTCCTACTCGTCCCTGCCCCCTCCATCTGACCCTAATACACAGGCGCATATTCAAAGTCTCCATAAAAACAAGGACTTTCTTCTCCTGCAGTCTCGGAGGCACAGGTGCTGGATACATACTTGTTGACTGAATGAATGTTGTGTTCTTAGTCAATAAGCAAATATGCTATAGAAGCCACTAGTGGTCCTAGAGCATTGGCAGAGATCAGTGCATCAAAAAAAGAACTTGCCGGGCGGTGGTGGCGCACGCCTTTAATCCCAGCACTCGGGAGGCAGAGCCAGGCGGATCTCTGTGAGTTCGAGGCCAGCCTGGGCTACCAAGTGAGTTCCAGGAAAAGGCGCAAAGCTACACAAGAGAAACCCTGTCTCGAAAAACCAAAAAAAAAAAGAACTTTCTGGAAAGGAAAAGTGTGACCCAAGTTTAGGAGGCTTTACTACAACAGAGTGAAACAGGAGTAGTTTTTGCTTGACCAGCAAATACCATTTGTGGAGCATCCCCACGGAGGTGGCTGCTTTTTCTACAGGCCACAGCATATTCGAATTTTCCAGATCATTGTGTGTTTGGCATTAAGTAGTAATGCACATGAGCTTTCTCAGACAAGAGCTAGCAACACCAAATACAGCTCTGAAAAGTCACATGACCTGGTTTTCTGCACACAGACTTTCAGGAGGTCCCTACAAACAGAAGAGCCTGCTGAGTCACATGCAAGTCACAGGTCAGGGAAGATGAATGTGGGCTCTGTTCTGGCATAGACCAGAGGGGATTTCCTCCTGTGAGTCGGCCTGTGTTGCCAGAGTTGTGGGGTGGATTCATTCTATTGATGTCTCTCCAGCAGAAGAGCCATCACCAAAGTCACAGAGGGCCCACACATGTCATACTGGCACCTGGCCATGGAATCAAAGACTGTATATTTCATGGTCATGGCTGGTTACACACAAAACCCTTCCAAACATGTGGCCAAACGAGGGCAGGCCATGAGCCACGTGGAAGGTATTTTCAGCTCTGTTCTTATGTTGAACATGGGGCAGGTGTACCCTCAGACACTGAGTATGGGCATGAAGGTCTTCTGGTACTGAGCATAGGGCTAGCTATACTACTCCTGGTCTATGGCTGTATCACCTGGCTACACACACTGCAAGGATGTTGGGCACGCTATTTGGGGATATCCATGCGAGGAAGGCCTCAAGAAGATGGTCAGACTTGACTGGTATCAGAGGGCAGGAGAGCTACTATGAGATGATCTAGAACCCGACTGCAGGCACTGGCCAGGCATAGGGACTGCAGATGGGAGACCATCTGTCATTCCAGACAGAGACATGCTCTCAGTGTAAAGACACCAAATTCCAAAGATCTCAGTGGGGAAGAAATGTCAATTGCATTGATAATTTTATGTTGATTATATACTGAAATGGGCATGAAGGCATCCCTTTGCACACTAACTTCATTTCCTTTGGCTATAGATATGTGATCAATGCACACTAAAGGCACGTATGGAAATATCCCAGTGAAGCCATTCATCTGTATGGTTAATATGTGTTAATACAATCAGATACCAAACAAACTTGCATAAAGAAGAAAAAGAATATTTGAGGTTGCCTAGCCAGCTTATTCCCTGGCTTGCCTGGTGTCACAGTTCTCAGGCCCCAGAGCAAAAGCTAGTCTGAACCATGCTATGGCAGCAGACTGTATTTGAAAGTGGGGTTTGGTTCTGTCTGACTATGTTTTGAAATTGCTGAGGTTGAGTCACTGAGGTCAATTCTCTCCACCTTGCAAGTAAAAAGCTGGACCAGAAGGCCTCCAGAGTTCCCAAAGGAGCTTCTTCGTCTATCAGCTGGTACAACTGAACCAGCACCTTTACCAAGGTGTACAAAGAGAGCCAAGAGCCTAGGGAGAGTGTTATCTTGCTTTCAGCTTGGTTTTTGCTTTGCTCCAATTCAGAGTTGTCACCTACAGTGGGGAACCAGTGTCTATGTCTCCATCATCACGGCCTCCTCTGAGACCTGTGAGCTTCACTTTAACATACTAAGAAGTTCCTATGTCTTGGAATGACTTTGAGTGCTTTACACATATAATCTCATGTTAGTGCTTACATGACTCTGAGAAGGGGTGCTCACGACAAACTTTTAAAGATTTATTTTTATTCATTTTAACTATGTATAGGTGATAGGTGTGTATATCTGCATGTGGTTATGTGCATGTGCCTTCAAAGGCCAGAGGTGTTCTTAACTCCTGTACCCTCTCTCCAGCTCCACAATAAACTTTTTTGTATATGAATAAATTAAAGCACAGTGAGCTTTTGTTAAGTCTCCCAAGATCACATTGCTAATAAGTGGTTCATGTCCAGGGCCCTAGGACTTCAGGCATAACTGGACACGGGGACAGCCCAAGAGAGTAAGATAGCAAATACATAAGGTCTCCAACTAGACCCCAGAAAATCAAGTCAGCATACAAGGTCATTTGCTGTCCTCTGCCATGATAGTCATTAGCATGCATCTGGCTGCCAAACAACCTCGCCGTCTGATTCAGTGCCCTCAAATTGAAAGTCCAGAAGAAAGACACCTTTTTGTGTGTCTGTATGCTACAGTGACATCAGTACTCCACCCTACAGCCCCCCCTCCCCCCCACTGATCCACTAGGCTCATTCTGCACCCCTACTTCCTCTTCCAGAATTTACCTCATTCCTGGTGCCTGGCTCTGGTCCCATTTCCTAATACTATCCTTGCACTTAGCTTCCAGAGTTGTCCATGACCTGCATCATTCCCCATAGACTGTCCATCTCTGACAGGAGCTGGCTTAGTCTGACCTCTGTGTCTCTGTCCTGGAACTGACACATAGTCTTTATCCACAGCAAGTTTGTCTTGAGCAGGACCTGGAATGGAACATTGAGAAAGGCCACACTAGACCCTCCCTCCTCTAAGGTCCCAGAGCCTTGAGGACGAGTCTTCCTGTTAGGGCGTGTGCCTATAGGCTGCCTCCTCTTACCCTTGACAGCCACCATGGTGTGCATAGCTTTTCATCCCAATTGAGCTCTCTGGACAGTGGTGCTATTAATTAATGATTATGACCGGGTGAGGGGCCACACCGGGGCTGTGCAGGCCAACTTTGGAGTAGCCTGGCCACAACTGTGTCCAACTCTGTGGCACATGGTCCTCATTCCTTCTTCTGAGTCACTCATATGTGTCCACAGAGGCTCTAAAGAACAGAGGAGAGCTGGTGGACCCCTTAGTGACTGGTGCACACATTTCCACATAGCAGACTTGGCCTTGAAATGTGAAAGGACATATCCATTTCACCATCAGTTATAAAAGTTGGCTATTTTATTTTATTCCATACATCTTTTTTCTCAATTTTTGAGCTGACACTGATGCCCAGGAAGATGCCTGCCATGGGTTTGTCCTCTTGATCATTACATTTGGGAGTCAGGGTATGACAGCAACCTGTGAGGGTGGAGGGTGGACATTCCCAAGTCCAAGGTGTTCACTACAGTGCACAAGGCCTGGCTCTGAGTCTGGGCCTGCTCTTGAGTTTCCCTTCATTTGACCTTTCTCCTCTGATTTACCTTGACTCTTGGGAAGTTTAACTGTGGAACAATGAGAAGCATTCGTGCAGTTGTTATGCCCCTTTGCAGCCCATTCAGTGATCTCCGTGGAAACCAGAAGGCAGTTCCTACAGCGGGGCAGACCTGGGGCTTGGGGGGCAGACCTGGGGCTTGGGGGGCAGACCTGAGAATTGGGGGGCAGACCTGAGGCTTGGGGGGCAGACCTGGGGTGTAGGGGGGCAGACCTAGGATGTAGGGGGGAGACCTGGAGTATAGGGGGAGACCTAGGATGTTGGTGGGAGACCTGAGGTGTAGGGGGCAGACCTAGGATGTTGGGGGGAGACCTGGGGTGTAGGGGGCAGACCTGGAGTGTAGGGGGCAGACCTAGGATGTAGCGGGGAGACCTGGAGTGTAGGGGGGCAGACCTGGGGTGGAGGCTTGTTTTCTCAATAAGACCTGACATAGGCAGAGCGGGTGAAGCACTCATCCTCTGTGTTCCTGCGGTGACCTTGGGCTTCCCTGGCAAGGTTCTCTCTGTGCCTGTCATGACACACAGATGCTCATGCTCACACACACGCACTTGCATACACATGCACACACAGTGACAGTCTGCCCCAAGAACACCAATCCGCTCTTTCCTTTCTCTGCACCTGTACTAATTTGCTGTGTCTGAGGGCTTAGCACATCTTGTGCTGAATCCACCCCCTCCCCCACTCCTTCAGACTTTCAATTTCCCTGGAGATGAAAAGATAATTTGAAAATTAACTTCTTCCAGCCTTTCTCCACGGCCCCAGGGACTCTTAGAAATGCACAGTTCCTTGGGAGGTAATGATGGCGAGGGCAGGATGGGGACTCTGGGCTCAGGTAGTACTCCTCCTGTCTGGATTAGGGAGGTGGCCACACAGGCCTGCTCACTTGAGATGATTTCTGACTGTAATGCATCAGTGAGAACTGAACTTCAAAAACAAACCCGAACCCCAACTGCAGGTCCGGCTGTTCTGCCTTCTAAGGGTCAATGCAGCTCAGAGCTGCCGTAGGACTGCTGGGGCTTCCGCTGGGGCAGGGAAACGAGTGAAAGTCCCAAGAACAAGGTGGACCCGGAGCTACCTCTTCTCAGGCTCTGGACAGCCTTGTGTTCCTGGGTAACAGGGTCGGGGATCCTGTGAGAGGAGACAAGTTGGACAACTCTGCAGCTGGAGGCAGACAGACAAACCTGTGTGGAGACCTAGGTTCTGTCTCATTCTAGCCATGTGACCTTGGGAAAGTTACATAAACTTTCTAATATTCAGTTTCCACATCTGCAAAATGGGGCTAATAACAGTGCCTGCTTCGTATGAATGCTGTGGGAATCACCTGTGTTGAATATACAGGTTTTAGCCCAGGGCCTGCCAAAAAAAAAATACAAGTACCCATTAAAACTGAATGTTATAATCGAGCACCACCCCCTCACTTTATGTGAGTTAACTTAGACCAGAGAAGGAATATCTTGTTGAAGTTTACAGAGCCAGCATCCAGGTCACTTGGTATCTTAGAATTATAGTTCTTCCATATAGCTTGCTTTTTCCTCACACTGGGTGCTATAGGCCTGTATC